CCCCCCCGAATAAAATAAAATAAAATCGAAAGTACAGAAGGCATTCCCAGAGTCCCTTATGCATGCGTTTCCGGAAGACATTCCCAGACTCCCTCCTCATGCATTTCCAATCATGTCTGCCACTTAGCAGGGTGGCAAGAAAGCCCCTGTCCTGTCCAGGGTCACGGTCAGCGATAGCACATTGAGCGGTGATCAGCAAGAGTAACCTGCCCTGTGGAGAACTCGGGTATGGCATACTTACACTTGGCCAGGCTTTCCAGGAGTATTTGACCAGAATTATGGCCAAATTCAGTCCATAAAGTCTGACTCCGAGTTTAGTATGTGAACCCTGTCCAAACCTGCCAGAAAACCAGCAAACAACAGCCGACGACATTCATGTGAGATTTACGGTCTGTGGAAACTGCACTAATAAGGTCCTCGCCACACCACTGTCGAAAACACAATTTTCGACAGTTTCTCTTCGCCACACAGGCTGTCGAAGTCAGAGACGGGAAGAAAATTCGCCAGTTGTCAGAGAATGAAAATTCGCCAGTTGTGCATACGCTGGATCCACACAGACTATCATTACCGTGAATCTTCCCCTTTTGTGATATGACACCTCTGGTTCCGTTCCTGGGATGTGCTGAAGTCCTCTGAGTCTCTCCATCACCCACTTTCTTTTTTCATTGAGAGCGAGTTCCCTGTTTTTGCCTGCAAAGTTAAATAGCACGGCATGATGTGGATAAAGATTGTGAAGAGATTGCAAATCCTGTTCCGGATACTCCCACACATCTACTTCCTCCTCCTTTCCATCTTGTCCCTTGACGACTTCCTTTGTGATCTTGACCTGCGCCGTAATTTTGCTTTTTTCCATCAGGAAATCGAGAGCTTTTTGACCCAGCGCTCTTGGTTGGCTGACCTTAACACCTGAGCCTGACATGTTTTGTGAAACTGATGATTGCTGATCTATTATTCTACCCCCCTCCCCCCGTATCCTCAGTTGTTCGCTTTCCCTCCTGTCCTTTACCGTCATAGCCCTTTGGGCTGCCAACACGTATGAAAACGACATTTCTCCCTGCTGTCCACTCCTACCCCTTCCAACCCCTACCCCCTTGTACTCAACAACCACCCCTTATCTTATGACGTTTGTATATCACCCACCCCCCCTTTTTTTTTTTTTTTTTGCTTAATTCCCGTTAATCCGAGATTTAACCTCCCTTTTCAACCTTTCCCCCCTTGGTAGTTTAGGACTCCTTGATTGCAATGACTTAGTCGATGTAGATACCTCCTTTCAACCTTTTCCTCCCTGGGCAGTTTGGGACTCCTTGTTTGCAATGACTCAATCAATGTTGAAACCTCGGCCACCCAAAGCAAGACGACGCTGACTCTCCTCCTTTGTCTCTTTTCAACTTTCCCTCCTTAGCAGTTTAGGACTCCTTGATTGCAATGACTCAGTCAATGTAGATACCTCCTTTCGACCTTTTCCCCCTTGGCAGTTTGGGACTCCTTGTTTGCAATGACTCAGTCAATGTTGAAACCTCAGTCAATGTTGAAACCTAGCCCTCCAAAAGCAAGACAACGCTGACTTACCTCCTTCGTGTTTTCAATATTGATGTAGAATCTCACCCGTATTCCTGAACACTCAATGCCTTCCGCTTGCCTATCTCGCCCTTGCCCCGTCCTAGTCACTTCCTCTCTCTCCCTCTCTCTCTTTCTCTTTCTCTCTCACTCTCTCACTCTCTCCCTCTTTCTCTCTCTCTCTCTCTCTCTCTCTCTCTCTCTCTCTCTCTCTCTCTCTCTCTCTCTCTCTCTCTC